GCGGGTGCCGTTCCTGCCGGGTGACTTCGGCGACAACGGCAGAAACCCGCTGTCGTAGCGGGGGTCGGGGCTGGACGGGGAGGGCCCTGCCGGGCCTCCCACCCTCGGCTCCCCCGCTGCCTGCAGGAAACCATCCTCCTCCTGCCCCTCCACCCCGAAGCGGAGTCCGAAGGGAGAGAAGGGGTGTGCGCCGGCAGGCATCCTCCAGCTGTCTGGGCTTACGTGAGCAGGCTGTGACCGAGAACTTTGCGTTTTCTCTGTACTGAAAAGCACCACTTGATGACCTTTGGTTTAAATAGTGCTATGCTTCCTTAAGCTTTTTTTTAATGTCTTCCCCTTCCTAGATAGGAGGAAAAGCTTTTTCCCCACGAGGACGGTCAAGCAGTACAAGAACAGGCAACCCAGAGAGGCTGCGTGGGCTCCATCCATGGAGGTTTTCAAGACCAGACTGGTCAAAGCAGCCTTGTCTTACCTCATAGCAGAGCCTGCTTTGAGCTCTTGAGCTCCCTTCCAACCTGGATTATTCAAGGATCCTCTGTAGTGTTTTCTAGAAAGCATTATGTTGGTCTAGCATATTTTTGTAATCTTCTTTCCCTCATTTCCACTACTGAGGCAAAGCAGGGATTCATTTTTTGTCTGCAAGTGCAGAAGTGCAAATGCTTACTCTACTATGCATTAATCTACAAAACTCTTACCGCTCCAGATTTCTTCCCAAGCTATTCAAATCCCATCTACACTGCTCTCTTCTAGGAAGATACCTGCTCTTGCTGGTTAATTCAAAGTTCAATCTAGGCATTTAGGAGTGGCATTTAGTTCTCTACAGCCTACTAAGACCTGGCTACAGTTTGCTGTAATGAGAATGGTAGCGACCAGCATACAGTAGTAGTCATACTCTTGCTCTCTTTAGTGAAAGATTTTGTGCAAAATACAACACGAGCAAGAGGTTGGTTTGCTAGTTTTCAAAAAGTGAGATTTGAGTCTCAAAATACACATTCAGAAATTCAAAAATTTCTGAACAAAACGAGGGATGAATCAGCCAGTTGATCCTAGTACCCATTTCCTATAGAAGATACACATAGGAGTCTCATTAAATAACGAAACTTACAACACCCCTTTAGTCTGCAGATACAGGTCACTGTGAGTGTGCTAGCAAGCAGGATCACAGATAACTGCCAGGTAGACATTAGTTCAAATCCTTATTGCTGTTATGACACCTGGTGATAAGAGGGTGCTGCTGGCAGTGAGAGCAAACGTCTCATCTAAGTTGGCTGGTTCTTTTCTTGATCTCTCAATTGATTTACAATCCCCGCAGCAATATAAGTATGTAAAAAGTTACAGCAGGGTCCTGCATATTAGAACAGTAGTCCAGCATGAGCTTTAAGAGAACTCTGAATTCTTAGAATAGGTTACATACCCTGCAGACGTGGTACTGTCATCTATGGACTCTGAAATACACCAAACCGTAACTCTTAATCATCATCTCAGTTTTTATAGAACACCATGATACTAAAATGCATTCACCTTATTTTGCATGTTATATTTTGCTCAGTGCTTTACAAGGGCTCCCAAGCACCCCAGTCAAACGCGGTTTAGCAAATAAAGTTTTCCTTCCTTTTATAGTATTCTGTGTTTCTGCATGGATGATCCTCACTAGCAACAGGAAAAAAAATTAGTGATGTCAAACATTTTCAGACAACATAAAGCTTGTTTTAAGTGAACATAACAATCATTTCCATGTCAGATCTTGGAAGAGCACAATTTACTATATCATAATTTTTTAAAAGCTCTATAATAGATAAAATGGCTGTTAAGTGTCTGCATTACTCACAAGGCAATTTTGTTTAACAGCTGGATTACACATTGAAGTAAAAGTCATGGTTAGTTATTTTTCCAGTTTGTACATTGGAAGTATCATCTGACATCCCAAACAATTTTAACAATACTTTATTTTTCTAGCAGTTTCCAGCTGAGCTGAAGCATTAATGAAGAAAGCCCTGATCCTTCAGAGATGTACTTACTGTGACTGGACCCACTAAAGTCAATAGAACTACTCGAGTACTCAGACACAGGCGGTTGTGTCACTCCCTGTGGAGGAGAGGCTTTAGTTTGCAGTCCCCGTGAAACAGTCACTTTTTCAGGACGTGGAAAGGTCAGCACATGAAAAGTCTGTGACTTACCTACACTTACAGCGCTTTCACGGCTATTGGGAAAAATCGCTTGTTCTGTGGCGGAGCTTGCTGGACAGCACTTCTCAAGTCACAAAGTTATGAAGATGAAATCATTAGCCTTAGGGTTATGACACAAGCAGCTTCATTAGGCAATCAGATTTTGCCTCAGAGATTTGAAATAATACTAAAAAACAAGTTACCAATAAACAGCTTCTGTTAATAACATAAGCTTGCATATAGGAAATTATGTCTTACTCTGTTAGTTTACGATGTAGTAACATAACAAGAGTCCAGCTTTTAGAAGCTGAAAAACATCAACTTGAAAGCAAAGGTACACTTTCTTGAGATGAAGTATTTCACCACTGGAAAATGTTTAACCTTACCTGGCAACTAGATAGAGGCTCTAT